TGCAATTAGTCTTCTCAAGGTTATGGAGGGTTGTCTAACAGCGATACACCTACAAGTTGTAATTTCTTGGCATGAATTACAAACACAACCGTCTAATGCAAAGGATGATCGCAGTCACGGCGAAATTGCAGATTCTGTACTCTTTTGTTTTCTATTCATATCTCACAAACTACTGCTCCAATATGCACAAATTTTGGTGGACATGTAGATCCATGGGTCTTCTAACTACTCACCAAAATTCAACTCAAACGGACACCGTTTGACCATCCAAACAATTCATCTACCAAAACTGCTCTGTTCTGAAATGGCAGCAAACCGAGCCGACAAGATATCTCTCAAATCCGATGTTTTACTCAACCAATACTCAAACCAACTTAAGACATTGAAGGGTCCTAAGCGAGGAATGAGATCACCAAGTTTGGGGTCAATCCAACTTCATTTGAGTCACTAATCGCCAGCTTGAAGATAACCGGTTTAGTGCCACAAAATCTGGACATATTTCGTGTTCTCCCTTTTCTTTGCTTTACACGTTGAGGTGTGTGTTTTGCACTCTCTAACCTTTCTCATAGCAGCAGCAGCCTTTCCCTAGCTGAGGATGGGGGCTAGAGTTTTCCTCACATGCTTCTCTGGTAACACTTCAACCATCGTTCTAGACACCAACTTGACTATGCACAAGCATTGGACTTGTGGGCTGTTTTCGCAGGGCACAAAGCATTATTCCACATATAGAGCATTCTTACATAGACAAGGAACCGTTTCTGAATATTCTTTGGCACTTGGTCCAATAGAACCTTGAACAAATCCGTTTGTGGTACCTAGGGGCACAATGATGCTGATCGAAACTAGGCACATGCTTTCTCTAGTCCTTCACTTAGCTGATACAACATCTTGCATTGCTGAACGTCCTTGTTGTTTCTTTGCTTAACTTTGTTCTGTGAGACATAGTCTTCATAGCTACCAAGAAGTCGCTACCTAGCTGGAGATTAACCTTACTATGGGTAACTAATCATTTGTCTCTCAACACTCAACGTTCTAAATTCTTACTCTTGACCACAGCAATAATTGCAATCGAGGCACAAACAGACGGTCGCCATCGAAGTCTGCAGATAAGCAGTCACACTAGAGATGGTTGATTTCCACTGTACGACCATCATGCACCTACGGATCAAGAACTTGAACGGGAGGTTCATGAGCACCCGGTGACCTATTACACCACATGATATCACCATCCATTATCATTAGATTGATAACTTGTCCAACATTAAGTGTTGGGTACCTTTCTGATCCAACAGGGATGACATAAGTTGCTCATCAGACGACCGACGTCATTACAGGGACAGTTAGGTAGAGTCGCTTGTTTACCACCTCTTGCAGTCTGTTAATGTTTATGCCGGTGACCTGTTCTTCAAAGGTTATCTTCCATACGACATCAGGAGGAAGCTCTACTACATATGGTCCTAATAGATTGATCTTCTGATAAGATATGGGGAGATAACCAAGAAAGGATCACAAGAAAATATCACATCGGCTGTCGTTTCATAATGGAACATGACTAGCAACCCTGATACCAGCGCGTGTCGAGCAGCACAACCTTGTGTGCGCGCCCACAAGAGGCTCTCAGTTTCATCGCGGCACCATAGAATGTTAATCATAACACCATTACTGAACTGACAACCAAAGTGAAATTTCCAGTGGCACCAATTAGATTGTAAGAACAAGCATTGTGCAAAAGAGGGATAGCAAACAAGGATAGTCACAAGGTTTGGAGTCAACAAGGAGGCGATCTGAGGATCAAAACACAGTACAAGAGGACATAGCTTAATTGCCGAAGACAACTGAGCAGGGAACGTGTGCTTAAATTCCACGTATGACATGCGTCCACCAAGGTGATTACCAAAGGGAAGATTAACACGAGATCCAGTCATGTTGGGCAACAACATGAGATCAAGACTGATAGACATCCCGAGACGTGGGAAGGTTGCAGATGGATTAAGCAAACTTCAAGGCAAAACCAATATGCCAATCAGAGGTTGAGTCGATAAGGCAATCACATGATTTGCTAGCAGAAGATTTCAAGATTAAGCAGCAAGAGATTAGCATTGCCTAGATCATCTGTAGGAGAGAGAATCGAGAGGTCCAACATGAAATTGGGTATGGTCTCCAAAACTTGGCAAGCAACAACTGTGGCCAAGACCGACATTCGTTAGGACTTAACTTGGTTGGTCGATCGAACAATGGCATTCTCCAAAAGGTAGCGGACGTCCAAGGCCTAAGCAAACATATAAGGGAACTATGCTAGGGCCTACGGTTCAAGCAAGGCATAGATACACAAATGTTCAAGGGCTAGTGACCACGTCTACAGGCTCAGGCTCAGGCTCCCAAGAGAGAACCTAATTGGAGATGACAACCGTGCGATTACGTAACTTGAGCGTTGTTCTAGGATAAAGCTATTTGACACTCGTATGCTTACCGAGGACAAACGAGGTGACAACTATGGCACTAATTAGATAACAAGCATACATACCACATCATAGTTTCAAGCAAGCATTTGAGAGATTCAATCAAATTAGATTAAGCACAAATTAGCTGGGACCTAGGAGCGGGTGTCGCCACTACGAGCAAAAGCGGGGTGGTTATGGATCTGATGGGTTTACGCGGTGATGAGGGGCCAGGGGGCGTGGGGTGGGCGGAACACAGTGATTGGGGAGTCAACGTTGGTGGGGATCGAGGGATATGATTGGACTGGTGTGGGGTTGAAGGGAGTCGGACAGAATTGGAGCCGAGTGGGGCGAAGGAGTCGTGTGAACGATTCTTGTTTCGTCTTGTTAGTGGTAGATAGAGATTGTAGCAGGCCATGTCGCTCTGGGCTAGGCTATCACGTCGTGGCGGGGGAGCCACCAAGCATCACCCTCACATTGGGTAGGGATGACACGGGCATAGACATGGGACAGAGCTAGAGCAAATGCAAGGATGATGTGTTTGTCTTATGAGTGCACAAATATTTACTATATATATAGATGTATTATATGGTAAAAATTTGATGATAATCATTGTTTTCCAGTTTTTTTGTGTGGGTGCATCGGCACCAAGTGTCTATCTAGACCTGTTCCTCAGCCCAAAAGGCGTCGGGCTGTGTTGTGCGTAGGCCAGGCCAAAACAGCAAGCTATGGGCCAGCCCATGGGCCTTGGGCCTTATGGCCATCTTTAGGTATAAACCAGTACACGAGCAGGCTTGACAAACAAATCACGGTAATGGAGTTTGAGATGGGCGCCTTCCTGCTCTACCACATCGCCGGAAGTAGCAAAAGGAGGGAGACGAGCATGATGCACGGAGCACACGCTTTCAGCCACCACTGAACGGCCGGTGCAACTTGACTGCGTCTATGACGCCGGCCGTGGAGCCTACGGCGCCGGCGACGGAGACAAGGAGGCACGCGGCGCTGAGCGTCTGGAGACAGACCCAGCGCGTGCTCCACCTGCGCACGCCGCGCTGCGCGATGTACATCTCGACGGGGAAGTAGACGCTGAACGGCCAGAACGAGACGGCGCCGAGCAGGCCCACGACGTTGCCGAAGAAGGGGAGCATCATGGCGACGAGGGTGGTGAGGCAGACAAACGCCGTGCGCCAGGTGAGGCGGAACACGCTGAGCTTGAAGGGGCCGACGGCGCCGAGCTCTCGGGTGATGAAGGCGCTGTCGGACCACGTGGCCGCCGCCCACTTCTCGACGAAGGCGAAGAGCGGCTGGAAGAAGACCTGGTAGGCCCAGACGAGGTGCACGACGATGGCGACGTTGGCGATGTCGAGGAGCCAGAAGGGCTCGTAGAAGCCGAACCCCGTGAGTAGGTTGTCCGGCGCCGCGTCGCCGAAGGCGGCGTAGCCCATGCACCCGCACAGCATGTAGAACACCGTCGTCGTCGCCACGCTCACCATCGTCGCCTTCTTCATCACCGTCGCCTCCGACGGCGGCGGCGCCTTGATCGTGTTCTGCTTGTATTGTTCGATTTCGAATCAGAGAAAACAGAGCAAAACCAGGGGGCAAGAAACAGAGCATCTATTAAAATGGTTCAAGAACTAACAAAGTAGGCATAGGCTTCGTTGGTGATAGCTTGCCTGTATCTCGATAAGGATGTAGGCGTAGGAGTAGGCGAAGGAGATGTCGCCGAAGGCCTGCAGGCTGCGCCAGACCTTCTGCATCGGCGTGACCCCGCCGCCGACACCGACGCCGGTGAGGCTGCCCTTGAACCCGCCGTTGGCGACGGTCTGCGCGATCCCGAGCGCGAGTCCGATGGAGGCGTAGGTGAAGGACATGGCGGCGGCGACGATGGAGAGCCACCATATCTGGTCGAAGTCCGGTATCTGCGAGAAGACGACCTCGACGGCGCCGAAGAGGATCATGTACGGGTTGCTGGAACCGCGGCACGGGTTCATGTGGCCTCTGACGTGGAAGCAGTCCGCCCTCTTGATCGCCCTCATGCTGATGGATGTTAGATAAGTTGACGCAGATCATGGAATACTTCATTCAGTTGGTGTCTAGGGTGAGTCGGTTAGGATCGGCCGTGGTTGGGGACGTGCCTGGCTACGACACGGTCCGGTGGAGTTTGTCATGTTCACGCCATGACGTGCCGAGCGCACGGGACAGACATCGCGGAAACGGTGTTTGTACCCGATACGGCATGGCGTGGGATGAGGTTGTGTTCCTCAGGTGTCTTATATAAACATGAACAAAGGACTCAAAGGGCTGTAACGTTGGCAGTACCTAATTCTCATCTTCCTCGCAAGTTTTACATCTGTCTCAGCCCTAGCTCTCGCCACGGTCACCGCGCCGTCGTCGGTGTTCCCGTTCCAGACCGCGCAGCTACGTCGAGTTTCAACAAGTGGTATCAGAGCCGTAAGGTTGCCGGAGGAGACGTGTTCGGCGGAGTAGAGAGACAGGAGGAGCAGCCGGGCGAGTTAGATCGTTGTGTTCAAGCAGATCAAGCCGTGAACACTTGCTGTCGTGATGGGCACCAACAGCGAGAAGGAGAAGGAGCTGATGGAGCGGGCATGGAATCAGGCTTCAGGAAATCTGGTATGGCCGATGCTTTCCCGATCCAATTACCAAGAGTGGTCGGCTCATGTGCAATGCAATCTCGAAGCCATGTTCCTGTGGGACGCAGTTGAATCTGACAAGGTCGAGCGACGTCGTGATCGGCTCGCTCTGGGCGCCATGATCCGTGGTGTTCCCCCTGAGATGCACTCGATGTTGCTGAACAAAAAGTCAGCCAAGGAGGCCTAGGAGGCGATCAAGTCAATGTGTTTGGGTGCGGATAGGGTTAAGGAGGTGAATGCGCAGAAACTTCTAGCCGAGTTTGAAGCAATCTCTTTCAAATCTGGTGAAACAATTGAAGACTTCGCTGTGAGAATTGGTAAGATTACGACCGATCTCAAGGGCCTAGGGGAGATGAGTGTCGATGATGTTCGTGTTGTGAAAAAGTTCCTCAGAGTCGTGCCACCGAGATATAATCAAGTGGCAGTTACAATTGAGATGTTCTGTGATTTAAAAACCTTGTCTGTGGAAGAACTCGTTGGACGTCTGCGTGCTGCAGAAGATCGATTCGAGCCCACGGTGGAGGAGGTCACCAATAAGCAAGGACAACTCATGATGATGGAGGATGATTGGGCCGCGAAGCACAAAGCGAGGATGATGACAGATTCGTCCTCAGCTGGGGGCAAGGGTGGTGGTGGCTATGGCCACCATCAGAAGAAGAACAAGAACAGGGCGCGTGGTGCAGGAGGCGGTGGTAACCGTGACTCACGTGACTTGGGAGGCAAGGAGGCCAACAACACCGGTGCACCACGCCGCAAAGGCCGCTGTAATAAGTGCAAGGTTTATGGCCATTGGGCCAGGGAGTGCAAGAAGTACCCGCGGGATCAGGCAGAGGCAGCTCATCATGCCAATACTGATGCCGATCCACAACTTGCTCTTCTAGTGGCACAAGTTTGCAATGTGGTCAGAACTGCAGGAGTTGCAGTAGCACCCTGTGTGTTTCTGAACTAGGAACGGGTCAATCCATCCAAGTATGAAGAAGGCTCGTGGGTTTTGGATACAGGAGCTACAAACCACATGACTAGCTGCAGAGCTTCATTGTCCAATTTGGATGAATATGTGCGAGGGGCCGTGAGGTTTGGAGATGGGTCCAAGGTTGAGATTTGCGGGGTCGGGGCTGTGACGATCGCTGGCAAGAACCAAGAACATAGGGTGCTATCTGAGGTATATTACATACCATCTTTGAAGTATAATATCATGAGCCTAGGCTAGCTAGAAGAAGGCGGGTGTCGTGTCGAAATCGGCAATGGCGTCATGGTGGTCATGGAGCGTCAGAACACAGGCAGCATGAGCCAGAGCGTGCTCATTCGAGCAGAACGTAGGAACCGGCTGTACATAATGCAGGTGAAGATCACGTCACCTGCTTGCCTACTGTCGAAGATGGACGACATCTCATGGTTGTGGCATGCCAGATACGGGCATCTAAACTTCAGAGCCCTTCGTGAGCTAGCAGCAAGGGAGATGGTTGAAGGCATGCCAGTGGTGAAGACTGTCGAGCAGGTTTGCGATGGATGTGCGCTTGGAAAGCAGCACAGGACGCCGTTTCCTAGGGCCTCGGCGTATCGTGCATCAGGTTGTTTGGAGTTGGTGCATGCAGATCTTTGTGGCCATGTCACGCCGCCCACCCCGGGTGGGAAGCTGTACTTCCTACTCATTGTGGACGACCACAGTCATTACATGTGGCTTGAGCTAATGGCCACGAAGGACGAAGCCCTCAGACACTTCAAGAGATTCAAGGCTGCAGCAGAACTTGAGTTGAGTTGCAAATTGAAAGCTTTTAGGTCAGATCGCTGAGGCGAGTTCAATTCGGGTGCGTTTGTGGAATTTTGTCAGGAACATCGCATCAAGCACAACACCACAACAGCATATACGTCACAGCAGAATGGGGTTGTCGAGAGGCGCAACCAAACGGTGGTTGAGATGGCACGGTGCTTACTCAAGAGCATGGGCGTCCCGGCTCGGTTCTGGGGAGAAGCAGTCAAGACGGCGATGTACTTGCTTAATCGCGCACCGACCAAGAGTCTGAGTGACCAGACGCCGTTTGAAGCATGGTTTGGGAGAAAGCCAGGTGTCAAACATCTCAGAACATTTGGATGCAAGGCATATGTCAAGCGTGTTGGTCCAGGGATCAGTAAGTTGTCTAACCGATCGGTGCCAGGAGTTTTCCTTGGTTACGAACCAGAAACTAAAGGGTATCACATCTATGATCCCATGAAGGATAAGCTTATGATCAGTCGTGATGTGATTTTTGATGAGAAGGTGGCTTGGAATTGGGAGGGGACAAGAACAGCAGGCAGGCCGCATGGTGGTGATGCAGCAGCAACAGAGCCTGAGCCTGAAACGTTTCAGGTTCAGTGTCTTGACAACACTGTTCACGGTCCGACGATAGGTGCCGATGCAGATGATGGCCCCGTTTCTGAACCTGGAGATTGGGAACCAGTTTCACCTGCAGTTTCAATTCCATCCACAGGAAGCGTGGCATCTCCACACACACCACCACATCAATAGATCCAATGGGCTACTCCGCCTTCGCATGACAGTGATTTTTCAGATGGTGCTCCACTCAGATACAGAACCATCCCCAACTTACTTGACACAACTGATGAGGTGCAGGACTTCGAGTATAGCGGCATTTGCTTGGTTGCTGCAGAAGAGCCGAAGTCGATTCAGGAGGCACTGTCAGAGCAGTGTTGGAGGAAGGCAATGGAGGAGGAGATGAAGGCCATTGAGGATAATAAGACATGGATTTCTTGTGATCTTCCACCCAACCAGAAGGCCATCGGCCTCAAGTGGGTATTTAAAGTCAAGAAGGACCCAGAAGGCAAAATTGCCAAGTACAAGGCACGCTTAGTGGCTAAAGGCTATGCTCAGCGTCAGGGAATTGACTTTGATGAAGTTTATGCCCCTGTTGCCAGAATAGAGACTATAAGGGATTTGCTTGCACTAGCAGCACACGGTGGTTGGGAGGTTCACCATATGGACGTCAAGTCTGCATTTTTAAATGGTGATTTGTTAGAGACAGTGTTTGTGCAGCAGCCTCCAGGTTTCATCATTGGTGATTCACATAAGGTGTTGAAGTTGGAAAAGGCTCTGTATGGTCTTAGACAGGCACCTCGAGCATCGAATGCTAAGTTAGACAGGGAGTTGATTGCTCTCGGTTTTGTGAGAAGCAAGTTAGAGCATGCTGTTTACAAGAGGAGCAACAGTAAATCCTTTCTCATTGTTAGAGTTTATGTTGATGATCTTATAATCTCTGGACCTTCAGTTGGAGATATTCTAAAGTTCAAGGCAGAGATGAGAAGGAAATTCAGCATGAGTGATTTGGGACTCCTTAGTTACTATCTGGGTATTGAAGTTAAGCAAGGAGGTGGTGAAATCACTCTGAGCCAAAGTGCATATGCTCTGAAGATTTTAGAGAATGCCAACATGAAGAATTGCAACTCATGTGATACTCCAATGGAGTGTAGGCTCAAACTCTGCAAGTTGAAAGGAGAAGATGCAGTAGACCCAACAGCCTACAGGAGTTTGATCGGTAGTCTAAGATATATTGTAAACACAAGACCAGACTTGGCCTATGCTGTTGGGGTGGTAAGCAGATACATGGAGGCGCCAGGAAAGAAGCACTGGCTTGCTGTTAAGTGTATTCTGAGATACCTAAAGGGAACTGTTGGGTATGGATGCATATACACAAGAGGAGGAGAGCTTCAGCCGATGTTGTTGGGATATAGCGACAGTGATTATGCTGGGGATGTAGAAGACCACAGAAGTACATCTGGGGCTATCTATTTTCTCGGCAAGAGTTTAGTGACCTGGTCGTCATAGAAGCAGAAGATCGTCGCACTCTCATCTTGTGAAGCAGAATATGTCACGGCAGCAGTAGCAGTGTGCCAAGGAATCTGGCTAAGCCGACTCATAGCTGACATGTTGGGAATGAAAGAGGCGACGGTGAAGCTACTCATGGACAATATGTCTGCAATTGCTCTTAGCAGGAATCCGGTGCACCACGAACGAAGTAAACACATCGATACAAAGTATCATTTTCTTCGTGAATGCATAGAGGATGGAACGGTGGAGGTGGATCACATTGGGACAACAGATCAATTGGTTGACATCTTCACCAAATCGCTGGGACGAGTTAAGTTCATAGAACTGAGGAGTGCTTTAGGAGTCGTAGAAGTGCATCAAGTTTAGGTGGTGATTTGTTAGATAAGTTGATGCAGATCATGTAATCTTTCATTTAGTTGGTGTCTAGGGGTGAGTCGGTTAGGATCGGCCGTGGTTGGAGTCGTGCCTGGCTACGACACGATCCGGTGGAGTTTGTCATGTTCACGCCATGACGTGCCGGGCGCACGGGACAGGCATCGCGGAAACGATGTTTGTACCTGTAACACCTCGGTGTCAAGCATGCACTAACATTCCATCCCATGAACATAATCATCATCACCTCATGCATAAGCATCATTCACGCATTCCATTTCGAAAGAAATGAAGTATCATTTCATGTGATGCTTAAGTTGATTGAAAATTTATTCATGTTTCAAACGATGTGAAATGCCATGCTCATGTTTGGATGCCATGGTTCTTGTTTTGATCACTAAGATAGCTTATAAATGTTTAGGATACAAATTGGAGCCAAGTTCATATTCAAAGTTTTGCCAAATTTTGCTTTTAAACAATTCTTCAAAATTAGGGTTTTGAATTAATATTGATGTTTATTTTGTAATTCAAAATCTATTTGGAATTGGACTGTGGTCATAAAAGCAAAGTTGTAGATATTGAAAAATGGAACAACTTTCATTTTTACACCAACTTTTAAAACTACTTTGAAATTGCTCAAAATTTTGCATTGAAGGAAATGGGGATAGAAAATAAATTAAAAAAATCACATTTCCCTTGAATGGGCCGCAGCCTCGCTTTCGGCCCAGCCGCTCACGCCGGCCTGGCCTGCCTTAGCGCCGCGCCGCGCCTGTTCCCGTGCACCGTGCCCGACCGCGTCAGGGCACGCTCGCCGCTTGGCCGCCATGCGCCGGCGACGCACGCCGCGCGGTAGCCCCGGCCTGCCCCGCGCCCTCCTGTCACGCCTTCACCTTCCCGGCCACGCTGCGCTCCTTCTCACTCCCCACTCCACTCTCTCGCTCGCTCAGCAGCTGCAACAGCCGCAGCAGTGCTCGCTCCGCCGCGCGCCATCGCCAGCATAGCCGTTCCGGCCACGCCAGACCACCGGAGCCCGCTACATCTTCGCTACGCCTTCGCCCCGGTCTCACGCAGCTCGTGCTCATCACAGTTCGGCGTGGTAAGGCCCGAGCCGGCCGCTATTGCTCGCCGGAGCACGGCCGAGTTCACCAGTGAGCTCCGCTCCCGTGGACTTCCCCGCTCCGCTTCCTTGCCCGCCTTTCTTTCTCTCGCACGAGCACCGCACTGCACCGTTGAGTCTCCCGAGCACCTCCTCTCGCCCTGCCATGGCCGGAGACGCTCCACCGGCGACAACCCGCGCTGCCGCTCCGCCATGCACGGTAGCGGTCGGCTTCCCGTGCTCTTTGGACCATGCCACGAGCACCGTGGGGTTCGCGCGGGTGTGGGGAGCACGCCGGTCACCTTCACCGGACCAAAGACCTCACCGTCGGTGAGCTCTCGCCGCCGGTGATCTCCTCTGTTTTGGTTCGGCTGGCAGGTGGGGTCTCGCTGAACCCCAGGCATGTTTGTCTGTCCCTGTGTGTGCACACGTGTGTTCAGATCCGGGTGCACCCAGCATTTTCGTCGGCTGGTTTTAAAAAGGATTTAAGAAATGCTTTTTCAAAATTCTGTTAAATGCTTTGGAAATTATAACTTGCTCAAATTTGCTCCAAATTTGTTGAAACAAATTTTGTTGTGTTCCTTGTCACCAGATCTACATGATAAAAATATTGCATGTCATTTTTGAGATACTTTTCTGTAGAGCTTTATTTAATCCT